CCAGAACCTGAGGGGAGGCTGGGGTGTCCGCCCTGAGGAACTGCGGCTGTGTGCACGCTGCAGCACAGCAAACGGACATCAATTAATCACTTGAGCTGTGTGCTCATTTACTGTCATTTTCTCTTCCCAGCTGAGAGCCCATGGCCTGAGGGTGGCGGGCCTAAACTGGGGGGAAGGATGGGGCTGGGAGAGGAGATGGGGTAAAGGAAAGCAGAAGAAAGGGAGGACAGGCAGTGGCAGAGCACGGGTCTGGGACTCCGAGTCCACAGGCCTGGGTGTTCCGCTCACCGGCTGTGTGTCTGGGCGGGTCACTTGACCCCAGCTCCTCATCAGAGACTGTTGTCAAGAATCAATGAGATCATGTACAGGCCTGACATGCAGAAATGGTCCCCAAACGATGCATGGACGGGGAGACAATTTAGGCGGAAGGTGGGACAATCGCACATCTGCTTAGTGTTTTACAAATTGCAAAGTCCTTTCAACTACAAAAAGGGGGAGACCATACCTCCATGTCTGTATACTTATCCCTGACTCCCCCCACAACAATAATGTCATGATGTCAATAAATGATGTCAACAACGATAACAATAATACCAAGCTAAAATGCTTACTTCTTTGTTTTTTCTCCTTTTTGCTGTGTACTTAACACTGATTCACTTTGTGTGTTTAGGATATTAGTATCTAATTCATAAGTTAAATTGGTTTTCTTCTATTATACCCTTCTTCCTGTCTTAGATATGAAGTTCACTTTAATCTCACAGTATAATTGGAGGATTCTTTCTTTTTTTATTATCTGTAAGTTGTGTAATTATGAGTTCATTTTAATTCCTGATATTATCTATCTGTGCCCTCCATTAAAAATTGATGAATTTTTCCAAATGTTAACAGATACCTGTAGGTTATCAATGTTTACATGATTGACTTATTATATCATGTATTTGTTTTCTAATTTATTGCTTTCTGCTCTTTAGTATTTATTATTTGCTTTCCTCTATCTTTGGAGTATTCCATAGAGATTTTTCTATCATCTGACTTTCTTGCTTAACTCACTGTTCTTCAGTCTCATACTATCTGGTATAATTTCCTCAATGGTCTGCTTTAGAGCCATCCTATTTGCTATCCTCTGTTCTATTTGCTTATTATTCATTACATGCATTTTCTATTTTCCCATGAATTATCTTAAAATTGTGCTTTTTAAAATCTCCAAACTATGTTTTAAAAATAAATTTTCATTATTGATTTTGAACCTAATATTGTCATTGTCAGAAAACAGGGTCTATTGTATACCAATTTGAAATGTATTAAACTTTTTTCAATGGCTTAATGTATCAACATGTTTCATTAATATATTTGAAAATAATGTGTGTTTTCAAGGGCTTTATAAGACCATTATTTATTTTGTTGCTTAAATGTTTATTTCCAATGTT